CCAGCTGTAAGGCAGGGCTGGACTTGTACCTCCTAACTGCTAGAACATGAGACACCCTGAGGGTGAAGGAGAAAAAGCACAGGAAGGTGATGAAAAGCCCTTGTTACTCACGAGCAAGTCTGGGTCCTGCAAGACCTGGAGAACTTGCAAAGCTCAGCGAGATCTTTCCTGGGTAACTGGGTGAAGCGGCCCTTGGCAGAGGGACAATCGGTGCTCAGAGAGGTGTGGAGTTCATACCTGGTCATCCACCTTTCCCACCCCTGGCTTTATTCTGGGCAAGAAGGAGGTAGAGATGGAAGAGAAAGAACAGCCTAAACCCATGACTTCCACAAACCTCTGCTGCCCTCCAAGCCACAGGGGGTAAACGCAACGCCCCTGGTGCCCTTCCTTCCCCACACTGCAGCCCCACAGAAGCACAGCAGCAGTGCCTGCTCCAGGCCAGAAGCAATTCACAGGTACTTCAGGATGACCAGTAAGGGCAGTGCTGCCCAGCCTTCCTCACAACAAGCCAGTTCAAGCATCTCCCTTTGAAAACACAGGGGGAGGAGGCTTTCCGTACACATTCTTCTTAGTAGGTGGCCACAGGTTGAATGCTGTGATTTTAAAGACAAGTGCATTCTCCCTTCTGTGTTTTACCCTGCATGGCTAGATTTTGCAATTTATTTGAAATACAAACTTTTCAAGCCTAAGAATTTGGTGGCTTTCTTTTTGAAGGACGCTAACACCTGCAGCTTTAATGCTATTCATCATGCAATTAGATTTCTGAATTATTTTATTATTCAGTAAAAATTGAATCCACATACAAGATGGGGCTAGAATACCAACACCTAACTCAAGCCAGAAGACATTTTTAAATCATCCTTAGGACAATTATTTAGACTAGTTTCCCTGAAACATTGATCCATTTGAAGTCTCACAACTTTTATGTTCCTTCTGGAACATTAAACTCCATACGGTTACTTTTCATTTACAATGCTGGACAGTACCGGCACCTCTGAACTTTTAATACAAAGTCTGCTTGCTGTATTTCTTGTCAAGGAAAGCAAGCTGATGCAACTGAAGGGTAATGCTACGTTTGTTACACCTGCCTACTGCCATGGTACAAGTCAGATGATACCTTGCCCTCATCAAACCCAAGCTCTTAGGAAAACAAAAGTTTTGCTAACTTGTAGTTCCCAAACAGCAAGCAACTCACATGAGCATTCACCTTCATGGAAAGATGTTTAACTGAATGCCAATACAGCCCAGAAAGCCAAAATATTAAGCTGGAAAATCTGAAGATCTGGGGGGGGCTACTACAAAATAACCCTATATATATATTTCCATCGTGGTTCGTTTCAGAGGGAAGTTGGCAAGGATTTAGACTCATCCTTGATGGCTGACTACTCAGATATTATAGCACCATGTGAGTGCTGGGAAATCTACAGTGAAACCTACTGATTAAAAAGAGCATTTTTTTTAAATTACATTAGCATTATATATTTCCTTAAGAGGTATATGTCTTTGATAAAGACAAGGGGGAAGAAAAAAAAAGAGGAAAGAAGGGAAAAGCAAAAAAATGCAAATATATACCAGCAGCACAGGAATTAATGTAAAACCGGTCATCCTTTTAACCACCATCCTACCTGAAAGTAATTGCAACAGATGCTCCAACAAAGGAACCGTCCTGGCAGGAAATAATTACAGCAACAATAGCAATAAAGTGATTACCTATCTTGGGGTCTCAATATAGCCAGAGCAAGGCCAGCAGAATCAAAGTCACTTTCTTTCTTAAAAAGCATGTAAATACAGCCTGACAGGGAAGAGCAGGAAGTTCAGAACCAACAGCACCTTCGCCCTCTTGTGAGGAAGGGCAGGTGGGAGCCCTGGCTACCCCTCTGCTGCTACCCAAAGCATTAAGCCATCTTTACCAGCGCTACACAACCCCTACGTTAGTATTCTCTTTGCCGCTGTACAAGTACACTCGCGAGCGTGGTACCACTCTTAAACTCTTCGTTTCCCACGTACGCTTTATAGATTTTTTTTTTTTTAAAAAAAAAGGCGTTTAGGAAGGACGACACGCAGTGAAATTTCAGCATTACGCTCCTGATGCGGGGTAGTATTTTTGATCGGGTAACGGTGCGCACCGGCCTGCTCGTACCCGCGACAGCAATGCCTCCAGCAGGGCTGGCTCGGG